ACCAATATAGTTAGATACTAAATAACAATAAGGACCGAGGGTGTTCAGCTTGTCTCGGTTATCGTTACGAAGGGTCTCATTAATCACTCGGAATAGAAAACATCCTTTAGTATATTGTCGAACGCAACATTTGCTCAAATCGGCAGTACGTTCGCATTCTGTCTTGTTTTTTGATTTATCTTTCACTTCCACGAGTTCATGAATTATACCATCGATTATGTTCTGGTTTGCACCTGCTAGATGTCCTTCCCATTGAATACCGACAATGAGGGCGAGAAAGAGTGTGTCAAACTTTACATTCAATGTTCCTTTGGTAAATTTCAGTAGCCAAGCCATGCTGAATTGCGATCTATAACAAAAGACATCGTCTTGACTCGTACTCCAGTTCATGGCGCTTCGTCTCGATGGATCTAGTTGAATAGGACAAATTTTATATTGGCAACTAGCTTGATTTTCAGCATTTTGACGAACATATCGTTTCACCGGATGCTGTATTGTGGTATTGTGACTGTTGATTTGCATCATTCTATCCAAATCAATAAAATCATGTTCATTGATCCATACGCATGGGTGGTACATGGAATAAGCGCGCTCGATTATGGTTGCAATTGCCGGAGGATAATGTGTCATTTTTTTTTGCGAAAGATCAAGAGGATCTTCATTGGATATCCACATCCACATGACGCAATTTATGTCGTAAGCTGGGCGTATTTCGGACATCAGAAAGGGATCGAACTTGAAAATTCTTAATTCTATAATAGCAAGAATATTGAGCATTGATCTTATTTGTTTTATAAAAACAAGTAGACTATGATTCTACTAGTACTGCTTAGGGGTGACACTTTAGCTTTACTTTATCTGGTAAAGTAAAATGCATAGACTTCATTTGACTCAGTAAAGTAAAATAGGTCTACTTTATCCGAAAAGTAAAGTAAATTTATCGTCCATGATCAACTTTATCATTGATTTTTTTCATAGAATTTTATTGTTCCCCTTAGGGTTAACATTTAACGATACAATAATAAAATAAAATCAGATATTTAGAAATATACAGCTGTTACTTTATTATTGATTTATTAACTCCTAATCATGCAATCATAACGCTGCCATATATGAAAGCTCGTTCAAATACTTTTCTTTAATACTCAGTGAAAAATAAAACACAATAAAACTGAAAAATCAACATTTCTCATGTATACTTTTCAATTTCGTTGTTACATTTCAATCATTTCATTTTTGAAATAAACTATTCAAATACAGGCTAATAATGAAGGGTGTGGGTGTGTGTGGGTGTGGGTGTGGGTGGGTGTGGGTGTGGGTATGGGTGTGTGGGTGTGGGTGAAAAAGAAGAGAAAAACCACACGCACACACCCACACCCACCCCACACCCACACCCCACACCCACATCCACACCCCACACCCCACACCCATACCCACACCCATTTATGTTCAAACTATTATCACTTTTTTTCTTTTTCGTTCAGTGATTAGCCATTAGTCTCCTTAATAAATTCTTATCCGTTTAGTTATTGTTATTCTCCTCAATAAATGGTTCTATTTTTTAGTTATCCTCCGTTATGAAGGCTTTTCTTGGCTACGGATAACTTTCATTACTGTAGGCATATCGATATATATATATATGTTCATTTTCAATTTACGATTGATTTTGTTCATACATACATTTGTTATTTTGAAGATCACAAAACGCTTTTTTCTTTCGATAATCGAAATGTTGTTGATCAGAATCTTCTTACATATATGAAACAAATTCTTTTTTAAAATCTGAGTCCTTTGAAAAATACAGAATTAACTGTTTTATTAAAAATAATCACAGAAAACTTCATGCGATAAAGTAGATAAACACAGCAGAAGTTGAAAAAAAAATCTTAAGCATCACATTGTATTCAAAGTCAACTATCGAATATGTAATGCATTTCGCCTTTGCTATATCATAGTCTTTTGATAAATGAATTGATTAATTCGACAACAGATGACTTTTTCGTTGATATACAACGAACGACATATATTTTCATTTACTATTATTACCATCGAATATTTATTTAATTCTGTCGAATTCATTTTATTTCAATATGTACTATATATTTAACAAAAAGACTCGAATTGAAATTCGCTGTAGAATGTTCAGGGTTTTAGTAAAAAGTAAATTTAAAAAGAAAGACATATTACGATGTCCATCACTAATGTTTAGTTTTTAGCATAGCTTAGTTCAACTATTTATATTGAAAAGCACCACTACAGAAGAATTACTTTTTCAGAAAGTGATCTTTTTATTATTTGAAGATATAAAAACAAGTCTAAAAAAATATGTGAACAAATTTTACGAATAGCAATAATTGATGGCACAGATGTGGTTATCAAAGTAACTATCATAATAGTTTTTTATGGCTTCATTGAACAGATGAATACATATATGAGCAACATCTTAAAATGATCAATCTTTCTAAGATGATAAAAATATTTAAAAAAAAAACAGTTTTGTATGATAATGATTAAAAATACATAATATGGCTCAAGTCAGTGATATATTATATAATTTTCTATGAAAAAGGTTTACTTATCTTACTTGAAAATAGTAATTAGTTGTGCACCGAAATCTCTAATTCTATTCGAAGCTCTTTATATAAGAACACCAAATAAACTCGCAAAACTTTCAATGTTCACAGTAATTATTAGGCTCCATTCGAAAAGAATCAGTCAACTTGAAGCTTTTCATAGGAGTTATACACAATTTTAATTTGTTCGATGGTTCTTAAGAATAATGTACGAACTTCAGAATATCAGAACATTTTCTTGCACGAACAATAGATGCACGTATCATTGACTTTCGAGTTAACTAAATTTTATCAAAACATCATCTGTTAAATCTATTGATCTTCTGAGCAAACAGAGGATTAAAAGAGAGGTATCGTTTTGTCTTTTTAAAGAATATTAAGCCTTGCATTAAGTTTGAGTTCGAAGAATCCGTGCATTGTTTCCTCAGATACAATATTGAGCCAGAAGATGAAAAGATGATACGTTTTCAATCTTGAAATTTACTATTTGTTAATTATGTATTGTGCTGAGCTTTGAGTGAAAAGACTCGAAAACATGAACGAAATGAATAGAAGCTCCTTCAAAATAGCAGTCACCTATTATTCGTTAAAGGTGATTTTCTATAGACCAAGAAATCGAAATTAGAAAAAAAAACGAACAATAATGAATATGAGATTAGCAATGATGCTATTTTACATACCTCAATCCATATCAAAGGTGATATTATATGATTTTTCGATGGATAAAAGACAGTGAATAATGAAAAAATTATAATATGCTTAGTAAAAGAGACGAAATTCTTTACAGTTAATGTGATATTTCTTTTGATATTAATTACCTAACATACTGCTTCTTTCAACAAGATTAGACTTTGGATCATGATAGTGTCTTTCAGTTATAGTTTTTTTGGAACTAATAAAATCAAATAAAGTGGACCAAGATGAAATGTCTAACGGGTTAAATCTGCGCTATTTTTTTTGTTAATTGTCTCTATCGGTTGAAGTACGAAATCTATAATGATTCCATTCCAACTTTTGCTTTAACTGTTCTGCGTTAGGCTTCGAACACTCTTGTTTGGGTATCTTATTTTCAATTGGTGTCCAAGTTCGATCAAAATACATTTGATCGTACCCGATACAATTTGTATTTTATTTATTCCATCTAAGCAGACAAGCATTTGAAAACACGCATTTAAACGCACCAAATTAGAACCGCGATTGTGAATCATTGGCGTTCAAAAGAAAATCGCCAAAAAGCCAGTCGTTCGGTGCAAAATTTTCATCTTTGAGATGTAAAAATCTAAGTATTTTCACGCTTCAAAAAAAAACGCATTTTTGCGTATTTTTAATGGGCGTGAATAGGGCACAATCGTAGTTTCAATTTGGTACGTTTCAATGCGTGTTTTCAAATTCTTATCTGCTTGGGAAGACATGATTTGTCTAATGAATCTGACAATTAATAAATTTTCATGATAACTTCACATGTATTATTTTTTGTATTTTGAAAAAAATAAAATCAATATTCGAAAAAATTTTATTGATCAGTTAATCAACAATGAAATAAGTAACTATTAAATCAAATACTGATTAGTTTATAGCACAACAAGAAAGAATTCTTCAAAGACAAAAAAAAGAACAATTCATTTCAAATAATGAAATTTGAGAGAAATTCTGCAAAATACTAATAACCAATAGATATTTTCGACATTTTATCTTATGAATAAATTTTTGAAGTAAAACCATATTTTTTTTCTAGAATTTCTCTATTGACATAAAACATAAACAATTCGATATAACATTATCGTAAGAATACGATATTAGATAAATTTCAGTACAGATTAATATGTCTCTATTAATATTAAACTAACTAAAAATTAAATGAATATTTAATGACAAATAAAATTTCCTATTTCAATTATGTCGAATAGTTTTTTGTTAAATTTTATATATCATTTTAGAATAAAACACATCTGTTTTCTGTCTATTATATTTTATAGTTAAAATAAGATAATTTGATCGATTTTTCAAAAATATAATTGATTGTGTCTGAAGAGAAAAAAATCTTATTTTAAATCGTTTTTTATTTTCTTTTTTGTTACTCATACAATTAAATATAAATGAAATTCGAAAAATGATTCTCTAGAATTCAAGTTGAATTGATAATCAAATAAAATATTTCAATAAATACGGAAATAATTAATGATTTTTAGAAGAAAAAAAATTCTTTAAAAAAAAAAACAAAAATCAAAATTAAAATAGTTTATTATAAATATTTGAAATTCTTTAATTGAATAGATGTTTTTAACTAACCTTACAATTTATTAATTAAATAAAAAGAAACATGACTAAGTGACAGATTAAAATTTTAAAAAAATCAATAAATTTAAATGAGAAGAATCCAAAAAAAACAAAATATAATAAGAATAAAAAGTTTTTGTTTTAATTATTCTAAATAGTTAGAAGATCATATAAAGCTTCTAAAATAGTTGCACAAGAACAAAAATAAATTGAACATGAATAAGAACATGTTTGACCATTTTTATTTGTTAATTCAGGTAAACGTTTCCAATCATTTGAATATAATAGATCCATTTCTAATGATAAAATTTCTCGTACATGTTTTATTGTTTGTTCAACAATAAATGAATCATTTTGCTGTTTTAACCAATAAAGTTTAGCACGAATATAATAACCGATTAACCATAACCATTCAGGTCCATTATGATAATTAAAACCATAAGCATGTTCACAATCATATAAATCATCATCACATACATAATCACCAACATAATTATAATCGCTAATTAAATTAAATTAAATTAAAATAATTCTTTTACCTTGGATCCAGAGTTTTAATTCCATATTTTCATAAAAGTATTGTTTTAGCTTGTTTTAATGGTAACCATATATGAGTTTTATCAAACATTTCTGGAGCCTTTTAAATATAATAAAAATTAAAAATTAAATTTATAAGAAAAAGAAAAAAACATACAATAACTGATGCAATTGCAAAGTTAGGTCTTAATTGAAAATCTGTCCATTTACTTGTTGAATTAACTGTATCGTTATATATTTGTTTTCTATTAACATATTCCGATATATTTGATTCATCAATCCAAAATTCTTTTTCAAAATTTTCAGCAATTATATTTAACCAATCAGTTAAACATAATTTTGTTTTTTCAGAGGATTCTTTTTTTTTTGTATCAAAAAAGAAAAAGAAAATAAATAGAATAAAATGAGAAAAACCATATACCTGAAGATATTTGAATAGAATCATAACGAAAATATCCTTGTTTATTCATTTGAATAAGCCATGATAGAATTGAACGAGATAAAGCAATCAATTCAATAGAGGAACCATCACAAGGTGTTGCTGGATGACCTTTATTAATAGCTTTATCACTTGAACCCATTTTATTCACCCAAGTTCCACAATTCCAACGATTTCCACCAAAAATAAAACCTGTTTTAAAATCAATACCAATATTAATATTAAAACCTTGATCATTCATATTTGAATGTAAAGAAAATCCTGCATCACGTTCTCTAAATGTTATTGTTTGTATATGACGTACAAGAATATCATAAATAAGATCATATAATAATTGATTATGTGAATTATTAATTGATTGTATTGGTAGACTATCATCATTTAGATATAAACATAATATACTATCTGAAAGTATTTCATAACCATTATTAACTAATTTTGTATAATTTAAAATTGAATATAACCACCACCCAACAGCATCACGAGAATTATAACGTGGATTTTTTCCATCAATTAATACATTTAAAATTAAACCATGACGAATCGATCCACCATATGAGGGTGTGAGTGGTGGGTGTGTTTGGAGATAACTAAATCACCTCCACACCCACACCCACCCACCCACACCCACCCACACCCACACCCCACACCCACACCTACACCCACCCACTGGAAGCTCGTTATGGAAGTTTCTGTATTGGTTCCATGCTAGCAATAAAAGCCACTCATATGTCACATCAACATGATCAAAACAGTACATTCAAGAAATATGTTTTTTTTTAAGTTCGATTTTTCTCTACATAATGTTAACAGCTACACTACGTGTTGATTCACTGCTGTTGTCTGATCTTGCTCAAAAATTGATGCTAGCCAGTTCTCGACAAATATTTGCAATCAGTCAAGCTTTTATCTTGTTTACAGCTCTATGTCCACCCTCACATCCATATCATGCACCTTGGATAAGACAATTTCTTTCCAGTCGAATATGGATTCCAATTTCAAAGTTGAGTTATTTGGTTTATCTTATTCATCGGCGCATAGCATTCGAATTCATATTTGGTGGATCTCTACTATTTCTAAAAGTGTACTCAATTACATATGCCGTCATCATTGGTTTACCAATTATTCTTTTCATATCATAGATTATTTCTTACATTTGGTTCTTACCTCATCGAAAAACCGTTTGAACGTATCGTCTATCAATACTTGAACACTAGCAAATCGGTTACAATTCACTTGAGCTAAATAAATTCAAACTTATCAAGTAAATCTACCTAGTCAAGTACTATAGTCCACAGTAATATAGCGATATTCTTTTTTATTATTAAATAAATATTAGTAGCTAAGTGTGAGCAAAAACATTTTTTCAAACCTATATCATATATCTGATCTTTGAAAAATTTAACACGTGTTCAAGTTTTAGTTATGGTCTCGCCGAATAGTGTATTTAATTCTCTAAAAAACTGGCGAGTGTATGTTTCGGAAAGATTCTTCATGCAAGTATCACATACTGATAAGATTAGCGCTTATTAAGTTATCAAACTACGAATTCCTATTTTCTACTGATCGAGAATAATTTTTGTGAGCTTGTGCTCCACATATCCATGATCTTAGCATGGTTCTAAGTGTTTTCTTTACAAGAAAACAAGTTACGAAATAATACCTAACGGTACTTTTGGGTGCATCATGAAACATTATTTGATCGCAAACCGAATCTGTCCTATGAGATGTTGATCCTCGGATCGTTAGAATAGAAAACAATAGGTCAGATTTATTCGAAATGAACTTTTTTTCAGTATTAAGAAATTTTTTCTTCTAAATAGTTGTCCTAACACTTTGAAAATTACACCGAAAGATGCAAATTTTCATAGAGAATATTTTAGAAATATGTCAAAATTTAGCAGATTCGTTTTTAAAAATACTCTATAATTTTTTCCCTTTTTTGCTTCTTGCATTTGTCCGATGAAGTAAATTTTAGTCTCGCTAAGTTTGCGCTGACATGAATAATCTATTCAAAAAGCAAGTCATCAGTTTTATAGGTAATTAAATTCTCTGTGTACTGCCATAAAAACCAAAATCAAAAGTAACTATTAAATACTCCAAAGATAAAAAAAGATAAATTGCGTCATATATTGTAAGGCATCCGTGATTGTTTCCTATCGGAGAAAAAATTTACAAGTTTCTATAAACGTCTTTTATTGAGTTTTTAATAAGCGAGACATTTTCCGAAATATTATATTGACAGTAGATTTTGCAGAAAGCAATTGAAATATTACTTGAGAAAAATGTAGAAATTCATTAATGAGAAAATTTATTTGACAGAAGAATATCAAGCATTTAAATAAGAATCAGATAAACACATTCGGTAACGGATAAATGTTCTGATCTCCGATATGTAACATTATTCATTGACATTGATCTCAAAGCACGATGATATGAACAGTCATATCTGTAAAATATGACTGCATCTCGAAGAGTGAAATGCTTGCTTCTTTAATCATGCAAATATCTCTTATTTAAAAAACAAAACATGTTTATTGGTAAATTTTTTTCTCTTTGCATACATGTAGAGTTCATCGAATGCTGATTCGTTTGAGCATAATTTTGAACAACATGGTTCATAACATTTTTCAATAAGTACTTCTTTCAACTAAAACTATTTTGATTTCAGATCTCAAAAGTCACTTTTCATACTCTTCTAAATAAAATTTCTTCTTACAGATTATAAAAGTAAAAGTCTACGTTATTTTTTTCTAATGGACATCTCTCTTCTTACAAGAAAACCCAACTTTTATTCAAAAGAAAAACTTTATTATACAAAGATAAAAGAATAAACAATATATTCCTGTCATTATTCAAGAAGAAGTGTTTGCCATAGTTTCATTTTATGACTTTACCATTGATTGGAGGTCCAATAGTCATACCACCAGCCAACGAAGAGTTAACGCGATCATTGGATTCTACTGATCTTGTATCACTATTTGCTGAACCACCTTGATGTCCTATAGCTGTACCAGCACCCATTTCACGTAATTTTTCATTTGCAACATCGCTACCTTTTGGTGGGACAGAAGAACTCATTTTTGCGCAGAAAGGAAAGTGTGATAAGAAGAACTGCGAAACTGTCTAGTTATAATTGCTAGTATGGAAGAAATAATACAGAACAGCAGTTAGCTTTTTCTCATTCTTTTTCTCTACGACATAGATCAAGGAAATGTGTCATGAAGAATAAAAAGATTTTCTGCCGCTATCCCACAATAGTCGAGAAAATATGTATACGCACGTTATCCTAACATGCACTCATTGCTCTTTCTATCTATAAAACAGCATTGGGCTCATTATATATTCAATTTCGACGCAATACTCGTTTAGTACCGAGGAGCCAATAGATGCCATGAATGAATTATTGATGAGAGTGTGAGTGTGTACACGTTCGAAGTTCGAATGCAGATACTTACATCCACATTCCGAATTCTAATTGATAAAACGATAATAAACGAAAGTTGAAAAATTATAAAAATAGAAATAGAAACATCTTTTTATATGATCCGAGAACATCACATCATCACTACTTTCCTCAGTGTGATGATATCCACATTTAAAAAGAACGGGAGATCTTTATCGAAATTAAGAAATGATACATAAGAAAAAAGAAAAACAATTCTTATATTCAATTAACAGATACAATTTGACGGGTTCGATAACTATTCTCTTCATACTTTGATAAAAAATGTTTGGTTTCTTCCGTGGATTATGATGTAGCGGCTGTCAGTTTCAATTATCTTTTTGTGAAATAGAATCAGCATTTTTACATGTTTTGGTTGTACAGTGAACTTTGTCTTTTTTATCTACAGTTACAAAACTCCTGACATAGAATGAGTTTATGAAATTTATCACTTTAGTTCTAGAGAACTCAAATAAAAACAACGTGTTTTCTTATCGATTACTGCGTCCATCCAATAGTCCGACAGTTATTTTCTTCTTGTCTTATTGATTCAAGATAACACTAAAATTCAATGACGAAGTCCTTAAAATCATCTATTAGATCCAGGAGATTTTCATTAGAAGAAAAGTCTAAAAAGCAGGAGTTTTCCGACTAAATGAGAAAATTTGGTAATCCTGTAGATATCCTACAGGGTGTGGATGTGGGGAAGGTTTCTACTCCCCTCATACCTGCATCCATCTCATCCACACTTACATTTTAATCCTACAGGGATTGCAATAGCAGTTTTGTTTTTGTGAATAGATTCCTTTTTCGTTTTTTCATGAATCGAGACTCGAATTTTTTATCTTATTATATCCAAAAAAATAGTTTCATTTAAAAATAATTCATTAAAATACAAATAAAAAAAAGATTTAACCCATATAATAATAATTATTATTATTATTTCATGATTAGAATATGTAATGTCATTTGTTAAGAACAAGTCACTATTTAGATGTTCTCTTCATTGAGCTTACTTCATCTAAAGTTTTTGTATAAAATTCAATAAATTGTTGAACATATGAAGCTTGACGACCTTGAAAATACGGCATATTTGAATTTTCTTCTATTTGTTGTATAGATAATGTAAAACAAACTTTTAAGAAATTTTCTAATTGATGAACTGTTTGTTGATTAAAATTAATTAGTATTTGAAGTAAAATAAGTATTCTATTTGAAACTAAAATAAAAATAAAAATTTCCAAATAAAATTGAATTCATGAGGTTGTATTTTTTACAATCAATCGATTCATATTCAGAATAATATGAAGTTCGAAAATATTTTCCACGAATATTTGCAATATTTTTGGATAATTTTGAATAAACACGTTCATATATAAATTTTATTGGAATATTGAATATTATTTGAGTATGTTTTTCAATTATTGGTTCTGAGAAACAAAAAAAGAACAACTACAATAGCTCTTGCGACATAAATAATAATTGTTTTACTATGAGTGATCGGAATTGTTCGATCATCAGGAGTAATAATTTTTGTTGATGTAACCATACGATCTAAACAAAAGAGAAAAAAAAGTGAATGAAATATTAAACGATTTATTTTTGTCTTGTTACCATTCACTTGTCGAATATTATCACAAAACATTGATTGGACTAATTGTTCAACAATATTTGGTCTTAAATCAATTAATGATGTTGTATTTCCTTTTTCTTTCAGATCTATTGATTGAAATTTCAGTAAAGTTAACGCAAATGCAATTGTTTGATCAAGAAAATTCGCATTGATTGGTTTTGTTACTTGTTGTGGTTGTTTAACAACAACAGCAACAAAATCATCTTTACTATTATCAAGACCATAACGTGTAAAATGTTTTACCATAAATGTCCATGAACCATCAGTTATACTATAATTAATAAATTCTCCATCGAATTGTTTTGTTACTTCACGTAAATAATCTTTATAATTCATAGCTTTAATACGTTCAATATCAGTTATTTCTTTTTGTGTTATTCGATCAATTGGATAAACACCATATAATGTTATACGAGCTGGAATATTTAATTCTTTACCAACAGGTGGTTTATTATTATCATCAGGATAAACTATTGCTTCATGGCGATCAATTTTAACTAAAAAAATGTATATATATATGATTTAAATTACGAAAAAAAAAACATTCGTTTTTACTAATTCGATCAAGATCAAGGCCAGCAACATTCACTTGACCATAAAATGTAATTGAACCATATTTTTCATGTCCAACAGTAAATTCTTCTACAATGCATTGGTCTTGATCATCAAATAAAGATTTTAATTCTGACATAGATGGTCTCATATAATAATATTCACGTGTTAATTTTGGTAAATGATAAGTATTAGAAATAGAATTTGATTTAGTTATATTTGTATAATCATAATCATGTGAAGATTTTGTTTGTTGAATGGAATTTGTTGATGTTGGTGGTGGAAGTACAGATGTTAGAGATTGAACAAGTATTGTTGAAGGACTTGACGTAGAAAGTGATGATTGTTTATGAGTAATAACTGGAGTTGAATGAAGAAAAGGTAACATATGTTGGAGAAAAACTTAAAATCCTAGTATTGACTGAAGAATATTAGAATTCTAACATGGACTAATCCTTTTGCAGGCAGAATTGGAATTCTAATTTCGCTCGGACAAAATTAGAGTGCAATTCAAGATAAATTCATTTAGTCGAAACAAATAAAATCTGAATACATTTTTTCGCTTGGAATGACATTGTGTCGAACGAAAAACTTCAGTTATTTACATGAATATTGTTTTGAAGAGTATTCAGCTTTACAGTTGCATCTGCGAACGGTTGTTGAATCTGATACAGACATGTCTTTTATTAGATTGTTACATTTATATCTACATTGATACTATTTATCGACACAACTGCTACGACTAAAATTTGTTTTTCATCCTATTTCACTTGAGATAAAATGCGTAATTGTATGAATTAAACTCTCATAGAATCCTAGTTTTATATGATCAAAACTAGAATTCCACTTTTGTCTTAACATATATGTTCTACTATATATTACTATCGAGAAAGTAGACCCCGGTTAAAAGAAACGGTGCCTATACTTTGAATTAGTAACGCATCACCTATGTTTGGAGAGATAGACTTTCTCTATTTAAAAATATATACATCATTAAATACAAGTCTATCTCTACAACCCTACATATATATCCTGTGTAGTAGTGGAAATCTTATCATTGCCTTTGTATTTAAAATAAACATACTTGCTGGATATAAAGATTGTTCATTGTTAACTGTTGTTGATGAAATATGAGCTGAAGTAGTATTTGTTGTTGAAACTGTTGTTAATGATGGTGTTGCATGAACAGTTGATAGAATATTTGTATTATTATTCATATTAGCTAACGTTTCAAGTTCAGCAAGACGTTCTAACGGATAAAGTGAACGAGTAGATTCTGATTGAAATGATGAATTAAGAGAATCATTTGATAAACTTTTTTTCGATATTTTACTTCTTCTAAATGAAATAGGTTCTTCTTCTTTTTCTTCTTCTTCATCATCATCACTATTATCTGTTGTCAATGGTCTCTCAATCAGTCCTGAGGCTGATTTTGTTGGTTGATTAGATGACTTTATTTCATCATTAGTTATATTCCATGATGTTGATGGCGAAACAGGTTTTAATTTAAAACCTATATCTACTAATGGACGAGTTGACGATGGTTTGTTACGAGAATTTGATTGTAAAGGTAATGCTATTGGTGATGATGTTGATGTTGTAACTGTTGTTGGTGTTATTGATGAAGTTGAAACAGCAATTAAATTGATTGATGGCTTTATTTGATCAATATTATTGAAATCTTGTTTTTCACGATGAGCGAATGGATCAAGAAGTGATGCAGAAAAAAATTTTTCTTGATTTTGTGTTTGAGTGATATTTGTTGGTGCACTAAAACCTATTGTTGTTGATCCAAATGGTGCAACAAAACCATATGATGAAGTTGCTGTTGATGCTGCTGGCTGAGTTTGAGTAAGACTAAAACCAGTAAATGATTGCGGATTAAACATTGACGAAGGTCTTGTTGGCCGACATGAAAGCGGTATTGTATCTGTGGCAATAGTTTGTGTATCAGAACCGTCGAAAATTGCAGTTGTAGTAGCTGTTGATTTAACTGGAACGCCAAAGATAGTTTTTGCTGCTCTTGCCGGTGCAGTAGAACCACAATCAGTGAATGGCGATGTCTTTATTGCTGTACTATTTGTTGTACCAGATACACTTGTTGTAGTCGTTTGAGCTGTCTTACCGAAAGATGTCGATGTAGCTGATGTGGAACATATACTTTTACTTGTAGCTGGTTAAAATCCAAAAGAAAATGGTATTGACGTACTCGTTGATGGATTTGAAGTGTGAGTGCGGGGATGATGGGTGGATGCACAAGGAGAAATTTCTATAGATACTCAATCAAACTTCGAGTCGTATGCATATCCACAGCTGAGTTTGTCTGAATGTCAAGCAAGTGGCAAATGTTGTTTGATTTCGAGAAATACGCAATTGCGTAACAGTGGAAAAGATCTCTCGAATATGTAAGATAATAAAAACATATTCATTCGAATGTTAAAAACGAAAAATATTAGTGGGAGAATTCAAAGTCTCTCAAATTCAGTACTAATTTGTTGATTTTAGTCTCAAAATGTAAATCTCAATGAATACTTTACTCAAATGTAGAATTCGATTTGATTAGAAGCAAAAATTTCAGTGGACCGTTTCGAGATTATTTACTATTGAAAAATTCGATTCTATGGTGCATTGCCACTTACATGAAGATTTGTAGTGAAAAATCAAGATGAATAAATCAGCATCTGTGGAATTCAAATGGGAAATACGATGTAGCTGCTCTTGCTAATCATTGGACAATTGCTTTATTCTATATATTTTGGGACATATTTCTTCATTATTCTTTTACATAATTCTCCAAAAAAGAAGTATAATGTCTATTAAATTTTGATATTCGATATTTAATCAAAGAAAATAGCGCAATTCAACTGGCAGAGTATCATCAATGATGGCAATAGGAGTTATTAGTATTCAATACTGAATATGAATTTGGTTCAATATGTAGCCTACTTCATTTTTTATGTCGAATATTGGATATTCAGTGTTATTCTATATATGGTAGAGAACTCAATCAAATAAACTTGAAAAAAGTTCAACAGATTTTTATAGTACAAGACCTTGGTAAAAAAAATTTATTCTAAGAATATTTGAATCTCGTGAACATCTATTCATGTTTTGAAAGTTAAACTCTAAAACTAGATAAAATTTCTTTAAATTTCCTTGCTAATTCAACTAGCTCAAATGTTGTTTGCAATTCACTCACCGATTTTCTTACCTTGTTTTTCGATGTAGATGAATCGATTCCAATCAATTTGATTGTTTGTTACTATGATCACTTTCGTTGTTGTTGATCGAATAAATTGTTCTAATGATATTTGTATCTGATTCAATTTTTGTCGAAGTCGTTCAATATCATTTTCATCAAAATCATCTTCATCTCGTCGATCACAAATTTCTTTTTTCATTATTCCAAGTTCTTGTATCAATTTATCTTTCTCTTGAGTCAGTATTTGAGTAAGTTGGTCACGAGCTTGTTCAGCTGATTTATGAATTTTTTCAATTGTAACGGTTTCCCATCGATTAATTTCATCGAAAAGTTTCGAAGCACAATCATTCGACTGATTTTTTCTATTAATTTGTTCCAAAAGTTCATCATGAGTTGTCACAATCTCATCATCAAATTTTATCGAAAGTTGTTGACGATGTTGATTAAAATGTTTGATGCAAAAATAGTTTTTACATCCATCACATATGCATTTTCCTGTATTCTTCTGACACATCGAACATTGATTTGATTCCGATTCTGATGCCATCTCTATTGATAGAATGTGAATATCAATATCTTGTAGAATATGAAATTATTATAGAGAGCCATCATCTTACTTCTGCACGTGTAGTAATGAAAATAAAATAATCTTGTATGAAAAATTTGTGAAAATGTCGAGTCACTGTTTTTGTGCACACATCATATGCCTTCTTACTCACGTTTGTGTCTATAAAAAAAAGTCATTATTTCGTCGTATTTGCTTTCTTTTATTCCTTCTATCAACACTATTAAAAGTAATGTGAGTAATATGAATCAGCTTGCAAATTCAACAATGAAAATTTCAGTAACAACATACAAAGAGCTATTTGAAAACAAATTCACAAGTACTTTAAAAGAAAAGCACCTTAAGAAACCCGTAAAAGATTTCTGAACAACTGTTGTCGAAGCTGCAGAAAACCCTTAAAAAAAAACAATTATAGAGCTTTGTGAAATTCTGATATCAGAATCGTTTAAGCCATTTTTGAGTTCATGAATACCGTGACGGGACAAGATAGGCTATCATTTCCTACATATTGTGATGTCTTCAACAAATTTCTAAACAAAATCTACGTATCTGGTTAATCCAATCGTCAATAATGGTTCGATTTTTTCAGTACGTGGATTTTATCTCGGCGTCAATTCAAGCCAACACAATTTATGATGAATGATAGTCGATGCGTATGAAACTAAATAGAAAGAAAAAACATCTTTTTTTTATTTGATTTCACAACATGACTATGAAAAACATAAAAAGAGAAATACAGTTCTAGAAGAATGATTTGTTGGTCTTTTAACATGACACCGAGATATATATTGGTCAGTCAGATTACATACGAATGGCAACTATGATTTCATGTAGTTGCTCAAGCCGCAGTTTTTCATTCGATTTGAAAATCCTTGATTCTTTATTATTTTTAGAAACGAATCAGGTATAGAGTGTGCCTAGAGTATTAGCGTGACTGTGAGCGAGATGAACCATTTGTTCACTCGTATCAATATCCATACTCACACTCACACACATCCTCAAGCTGCTCATAACCAGTGATCTATTTTTCGATGCAAATTATAGAGATCAACATTTAAAGACCAGCCGGTATGTAATGTTTTTGAAAGATTCGTTTAAAAAAAACAAAAAATTTAAATTGCTTTGTTGGTATGGATCTTATATTCAACAAGTCAAATGTAATGTTACCTGATGATACTGTCGCATCTTCAATTAAAAGCTTTAATTGGGCGATGAATCACTATGGTTTTGCTCTGAGCACTGTTGCAAAAATGTCCAAAATATTTTTTTTGTTATTGTCATTCAGTGTTTGATATGTGTTCTCAAAGGATGTACTTGGACAAAGCTACTTTTTCAGTCCAGATTTTTTCTGAAAATTTTCTATCTTGTAAGAATCACGAAGAAGTACTGAATAAAATAGATCTTATATATATTTCTTGGAAATCTACATAGTTTTGTTTTCAATATGTTATAACTTCTTGAGAAGCTAAAGAAATTTTTTTCTCCGATTATTTCCTCAACATTGAAAATGAATTATTGCCGAAGAAGATGATATGATCAACTTTTGATTGATATTTTTGATGACCAATAAACGAGATATGATTGGAATGTTGATCAATGGAAAATGTACAGCTCTATCTGAAAAAGAAAAGATCAAGTGAACAATTGCAATGGTCCTATTTTCAATAAACAGATTTCGAGTCCGTTTGGGTCACGAAGTAAAGAGATAAATGTGAGTCTAACAAAGAAGTTGTTTTTTTTTCAGTAGAGATATCTTGATTTTGTCTACATAGTTGAATGCATGAATATTCTATTCTACCAAGCCTTAGATCAAAACTGCAACAAATGTCAGAGATAGTTTTACATCGTGTATGATTATTTGATGTCAAAACATTCGATTCAGCCCATCAAACAAGTTTCATTGAAGTTTTTTCCATAAATCTTAGTTTGATAAGATTTTTTTTACAATCAACAAAAGTTTTCCTAATTGTTTTCCAATAGACTAGGGATGTGTAGAAGTAAGAAATCCGAATTCTCGCATCCACACCCATCTTGTCTATGAAATGTACACAATTTCTTAGATCAGTTTTTTCTTAGAACAAACAACGACGTTATGATGATTAGTTTTCTTATCAAGCATTTGAATTTTTTTACTAGATGAGAAACAACTGTCATAAATAGTACGAAATATTGGATAACTTAGTAAAAAGCACTTTTCAATATAAACTAAATATTTCAGTTGAATTAGGTTTTATTATACAAATAAATATCTTTTTTAAAAAGCTTATTATCATTAATAGAGAAGTTTCAACTTGGTTTTGTTTTTCCCCTTGAATTTTTTTTTTTTGATAATACTCTTGAAGTAAGTTAATTGTGTAACAAATTTGTATTTATTTCGAAAAACAAGAGAGATGAAATCGAACATGCAAGAGATGAGAATATGACATGTAATTTCATATCTATTAGAGATGAGTTAGAAATACAGTATCCTGTTGTCTCTAGTTAATATTCACTAAAAATGAAATGTTTTTTCTAAACCTTTAGCTTAGAATAATTTCATACAATACTTACTGAAGAGAGAGTATACATCATTCATTTTGTGATAATCTCTTGTATCTTTGATTGTTTGAATATGTTCTACGGTTCTATTGGTTTTGCTATTATACAAGATATTGGATGATGAAGCAAACGAAAGTACGAATTACTTTATTCATGAGATCTTTGATTGTTGAATGTAAAAAATTAAAATAAAAAAAATCTTTTTGAACAGCTAAGAAAATAACTATCGATAAAACCAAAATAAAAGTCATGGTCAGCTCAACACAACTGTAGGATTTGCAACAGTATGAATAGATAGTCTTGATGTGTATGCATAAAATCATAAGATATGTCATCATTATACAATGATGAAAAGAAAATTCATGTACTGAGATCAGAGTTGTCCATCAGGGTCGAAATTTCGCCGCGACGGTTTCCCAAACAACCTACCGCACCGTGATGAACTCTGACAACAACCTACCGCCACCGCACCGCTTCCACGGCGATGTTCAAGAAATTTTGTTGACTTTGGACCTTATGATTTGTCCGAACAGAAATAGCTCCTAGTAGTCGGTCAAATTTATTGAATCTTGCCATGTAGCGGATATGAATACCGAGATTCCTTGAAAATTCGTGAGTTTTAAAAATTTCTTCCTAAGAAATCGACCGCTACTGCACCGCTGTCGCAACGGTATTTAAAAAATCTCTCCGCGCTGCCACCATCATGCCGGTAGCGGTGCGGAGGCGGTGGCGGTCGCGTTGGCACCGCCATGGACATCTCTGACTGAGATACTATTTACTGATGTTCAAAGTCAATTAAATTCTGCTTTGGCTAGGAATGAGCGAGTTCGAATTACATTTTTTAAAAGACTTTGACTTGATTTGGACTCGAAAGTTGGATACTGTTGATTCAACATTTTGACTCGAGTAATTCATACAAAGAAACACAAGTTGACAATTTAACACTAGAATCAGTTTCAGAAGATATTAGTGGTTCTTTGCAGTAAGAAAGTTTAATCCATAATCTTATTCTTTCAAAAAAACGAAATTCATATGAATTTTTTAATAAACTTTATAAGAAAAAAAGTTCATGGTTCATCTTGCTACACGAGTACCACATTTTCGATGTATGTTCTCTCAGATTCGTTTTATAATGAAATTGAATCATTTCAATGTTTCTCATAGTAATATTTGCATTTTAACATCTTTGATGTGCAATACAACATTATTTCAAATGTTAATAAAACTTTATTGCTTGTAAATAACTTTAACTTTAGGTTTTGGTTATTCAAATTGATGTTTTCAGATATCGTGTAATGAAAAATTCAACAACAATAAATTGACTCACTCAGCTCTATTGTGTATACCTTTCTGATTAATCGAAGATCTTTCTGTTTGTCCACAATATAGAGTAAAAAAAAGCCGAGACAGTAAAGAGTAATGCGAACAACTTTATTGAGCAAAATAAGAAAGAAGAAAAATCATAGTTTATTTTTTACAAAATCAATATTTTCTATCGATTTTTGAATATCAGGATGCGTTGGTGGAAGTGATTTTTGTCGAATAGCAAGTGCCGTTTCGAAAAATGAAAGTGCTTTTGAAAAGTCACCCATTTCACGATATACTAAACCCATATTGGTGTAACATTTAGCTAAATCGAGATGATTTGAAGGCAGACTTTTTTCTTTGAACTTAAGATCTGCTTCGTAATATTCAAGTGCTTGTGAATATTGTCCCATCTCCAAAAATGATTCACCAATTCGACTGAAAAATTTAGCCAATTCAGGATCAGTTGAAGACAGAGTTTTTTCTTTTATTGTCATTCCTTTTTTCTTAAATATAAATTGGTCCGAATTGTTATTCGCGATGTTATCAATTTCAATGATATTAGTATGGTACTTAGACGATGGAGAAATCGTCGATGAAGAAATCGTCGATAAAGAAATCGTCGATGGAGAAATCTTCGATGGAGGAATCGTCGATGGAGGAATCGTCGATGGAGAAATCTTCGATGGAGAAATCGTCGATGGAGGAATCGTCGATGGAGGAATCGTCGATGGAGAAATCTTCGATGGAGGAATCGTCGATGGAGGAATCGTCGATGGAGAAATCTTCCATGGAGGAATCGTCGATGGAGGAATCGTCGATGAAGAAATCTTCGATGAAGAAATCGTTGATGGAGGCGTTGTCTTTATTATTTCATTTGTTTTTTGATTGTGATGATTAATTATATTATTGGTATTATTGTCTGTGCTCTTAATTGATAACTTCTTACTGTCATGATGTCGCTTTTTACTGTCATGATGTTGTTTCTTGTCATCGTCGCGCGGCAGTTTGGCTGGTACTTGCTTCAATTCTTCAGACTCGTGAGGTAAACCTATTTAGAGCAAAGATTTACCCAATTGTTCTCACTCAGTCTGATACTCGCTCTTCTCTCGCATGAGTTACGTGTATCGATGATGTTCCTGAACATTATCGAAGGTGAGCTTAAGGTATATTGAATAAAGTGAACGCTTGTTGTCATATTTTTCAATGAATATGTGATGTTGGTAGGTGAGCAACGTGTCAGAATCCTCTCTTCATAAACGATAACACCCGACACCCACACCTGTAGCGGATACAACTTTCTGAGATTCAATTATAAACGATTGTAGAAAGTGTTTTCTATTCAAACTCGAACTATTTACTAGATATTCCAGGACGATGATTCCGGCTTCCGAATACTACAGGAACAGGCAGAAAAGATGCGAGAAAATCGCCATATCCTGCAGGAAGACACCGGAAATTGACGGAACATGGAAGCAGTATTCCGATCGAGGATTTTCCGGATTTTTCCCCGATTATTTCCGACCGGTTTCTGCTGGAAAGAGCAGGAATTGGCTGGAATCCATCGGAAAAAGTCCGAAAAATTCCCGACCGAAATACTGCTTCCATGTTCCGTCGATTTCCGGTGTTTTCCTGCGGGAACCGGCCCGTACTTCTTGACCTGGGTAAAATTCAAATTAATGAAGAGAAAACAGTTACAGAATACACTTTACTAATGAAAATTTTTGCAATACTATCTGTAATAAAAAAATTATCTTATTCACAGAGCTGATTTCAACCGTCCGGTTAGTATAGACGACTCAGACGCACCAACTTAATTGAAATTCATTGAAATCGATTCAGTTTTTTTATTAATTTTAACAGCCTACCAAAATATTCGCCCATCTTTATGTCATACACTATGATACAACATTAACAAGAAAAAACTACTAGCACAGCACACATAATATAGATTGATATACCGCTAGTTTACCAACAGTAGTTTTTCGGAAATTATCGCATGTAAAACAGCATATATTCCGACGATACATGGTCATATGTGTATTAAAATAATATATGCCTTAATGTTGGAAAAAAAATATCTCTACTCAAATAAATATAATGTTAATCATTTAGGTCATTATCATTCAGTAGATGTCACTGAACAGTATTAACTAACAGAGAAAAAAGTTTAGAAAAACTGTAACTAAAACTTTAAAATATTTTGTACATAGAAGAGAACTAAGAGTTCAAATGAGTCTTCATTAACTATCCTTTACTTTATCTGCAACTCAGAAAAAAATTTAGACATAAAAGTTATATATATGAGTGAATTACAACTTTGTTTGTACCGTTGTATTCTTATAAGTAAAACTTCAATATCTCGAGTTTTTCTCAATCAATCTTTGTGATTTTTTCAGGGTAAGATTCTCTAATAAGCCCACACTACCACACAAAAAATCACAAATTTATCTTAAATAAATCCTGAGATATTAGCTGCTCAAGGTTCAATAGTTCGATTTCTACTGTCATCTTTTGAACAAAAAAGTCGTATAACCAATTGGTTTCTCATTATTTGAATTTTAACAGTTCGTGATATATATTTATAGTAGACATTTTAGACGTCTCGAATATGAGACTGATTGCTTCTTTCATCACAGTTCCTATAACATTTTTTCGGAATATCAGATGTACCGTCAATGCTCAATTTGGTGTCACATGAGATTTAAAAACGCCTTTGCTATGTAACAAAGCACTTAAAATTGGTCGGGTCGGTATTGAATGAAAGTTAATCAATGAGGAAGTAAACTGCCAAAAATGATGCGAAAGTTTTACTTATTCTTGTTAACATAAGGATGCACAGGAAAATTTGAAAATTCAATTATCACAGGAGACGTAATACTTTATATGACGTATAACTCTCTTAAATTAAGGCAGATTGCGGTGGAATTTTTATCATTTTATCCACTCACTGTAGTCAACTATTGTTGAAAATATCAGGATCAGAAATTTTGTCTTTCATACAAAAGAGGAAAAATAATACAAAAATGCCACGCGAGACTATTGTGGGTATAACTACCTCACATCTAAAGCCAAAGTAGACACTTAATATATCACTTGACTTCTATATTTAAGGAGCTATCAACAGTCATATGAATTAATCCTAGCTTGTGTCTCTCAAGTTAATAAATTCACAAAGAAAAGTCACTAATTATATATATTCTCTAATGAACTGCATCTTTGCAAATCTTATCGCTATATAAGTATAAAAACAAATATAATTTAGGAAAAATCATGCTGTTTTAGTTGTTAATTCTAGATCAAATATGGTTCATCAGTACAAAGAAAAGACACAACATTAAAATCTAAAATATGGTCGAGAAATTCAACTGAAGCGTGCACCTATCAAAGTTCCTTAATCTGGTATTTTTAAACAGTTTTAAAAAAAAAATGTAGCATCTTGGGCAATTTGATAGTGATAGTCGGAAAAATTTATTCATATTCTCCTCTCATATTGTACTACAGAATGCACTAATCATCGTGTTTAAAATCGAAAATTTTTTTTCACCGAACGGTACAATAATTCTGCAATTCACTCATATATATCCGATAAACCTAATTTTCGAGAATCACTTAATAGTCGAACATATAATGAGTTTATATCTGTTAACTACATACATAATAGACAGTCGTTCGATGAACTTACGAATCTGTTCGCTTCGTTTATTAATGTCGGTGGTGCCAATTATTGTTGGACCTTGATTTTTGAAATCGATTGCTTTTTGATGCCAGAAAACGCTCTGTTCATAATCACCTTTTTGAGATAGTAAATTGCCAAGTTCTTCATATACAGTAGAAAGTAAAGGATCATTTAGTGGAAGTTCTTTCAAATATCGAGTAAAATATTGTTCAGCTAAACCAATTTTTCCCATAGTCCATAATACTTTTCCTAATATTCGAAGATTTGTGTCTCCATTTCCAAGTTGTGATCTCATATGCGTAAGAACATCTTTTAAATCATATTCAATCTCACTACACAAACTCATTCGAATTGTCCATAATCGATCAGTCATGCTGCATTCGACACCGTTCAAACGAAAAATAGAACCAAGCATAAAGAGTACTTCGGATTCTTTATTATAAGCACTATATTTACTAATGTCAGCAAATGGTTTTGTAGTGATGATACTAGGATCAGCATCAATTTCAAATACGACTCGTTCCAAACCAGCTGCAATATTAGAACCTTGAACGAATGTAAGAGCTTCCTGATAAGATTTACTAGTGGAAAAAAATGAATTCACTGAAATAAAGCTACCAATTAATTGTTTTAAAGTTTCCAATTCTTCACTTGATATCTTTTGACCTCGATAAACTCGTATATGTTCTTTAACTTGATTATTTTTCAATTGATGATAAATATCAGAAATATATGTACGAAATAAACAAATCATATTAGTATTTTCATTGCGTAGAACTGCATTAAGAGTGTTATAAAAGAAGGATTCTTCTGTATACCATGTTAAGGCTTTGTCAGGTGAATAAGTCTTTTCAAATTTACGAATAAGATTCAATTCAACACTATTACCTTCATATTGTTGTTTACAACACTTAATAACTTCATTTGTATCAGTTTCAGTGGATTTTAGCCTTAGAAGGCATTCAATCAGCATTTGAGAAAAAACAAATTTTCCATTTAGACCAGACGTTGATTTACCTTTGCCACGGTTTTTATTAAAAATATTAATTGAAAATGGTTCCTCCGCTTGTTTCTGTACTTTATGATCTTCTTTAATTTGTGTAACGAGTTCAGTAAGCTCAGACGCAACAGCTTTCACCTATCGAAAAAAAAACGATATTAAAATTTAAATCACAATACACTCAAGATAATTTTACCTTTGAAAATTTATCAGCCCATTCTTTGTTACCTTTCTTATCCATACAATAAACATAGATCGATACAACTTGTCGAAGCGCATGAATAGAAGGGACTATAATTCGTCCCAATCGACCACTAACAATGACTACTAATCGATCATTTTCAGACTGTTCTACAATATATCTTTCACATTGTTCTACATCTTGAAACTTTTTGACATAATTAATAATAGTACGTAGTTGTTGTTCTGTATTTCGAATATCACTACCATTTACATTACTATCAAGCCAGATAAGACTGAAAATTTCAAGGTGCGAATTATCAGAGTTTCTGCGAGAAGGATCATCTGGTAAACTAGATTGGGCCATTTTAATCAAGACTACTAAATAGAAAAGAAGTTTTGAATGTAATGCATTCGATTTAGTTATGGAATATATGAATTTTTTTGGCATGTTAGTTCATGATCTGATTGAACTGACACATTTCTATATAGGCATAGGATTTTTCAAGTTTGAGAAAACTTACTTTGGTATGATTCGAAGTTTTTCATTCTTAGTCAAGCACATATGTTATTTTCTATGAATTTCCCTGAAATTTTATTCAAGTCTTGGTATACATTGTTATTTAGAGATATTAAAGATGTAGAAGATAAAATCCTATATATACAATACCTTCTATATCTTTAATATACCCAAGAACAAACACATTAATATGCACGTAATGAATACAATGATATGTATGAATAAAAAATATATTATTAAATCGATAAAATATACAGAAAGTGTTAGAACTATAAAAAAAAGTTGTTAAGCAATCAACTACCTAGACTATTCAGACAGTTGCACAATGTTACAGATGGTATACCAAGAATCAAACAAATGAAATTTCAGATCTGTATCTCTATATTTTTTTTCTCTAATGACAACGTTTTCTATGCTTTTATAAGATTTGACAGTATATTTTATAACAACCCATAATTATATATTATAATCAGTATTATCAATCCACTTGAAGAGGATCAGATTCTTAC